AAATGATTCAAATAAAAGTTGCTTGACTTCAAGGGGGACAGAAGATGGGTGGCAAAAATTTGATCTTGGATAGTCATTTGAAAGTCGCATAAAGGTTACCTTTAATTTCTTAAATGGAACCCCCTATTTTTCATTGCATATTCTTGTAGCTTATCTCAAGAGCTTTCCAAAACACTATAATTAAGTACCTTTTCATTAAGTACTTTTTGAGTTATAAGACTTGAAATAATTTCTTAATTTTACATAAACCATAAAATATCTAGTCAACCATTCATTTTTCGATTATCTTACATTGATACTTTTATGTACAAAATAATGAGAGGAATCAATTGGTGTAAAGAAAACACATAGTTGTTTCTAAGAAAAAATATGTAATTTGCAATTAACAATTCCATATTTTTTCTTAAAAACAACTGTATATTTTCTTTACACCAATTGATTCCTCTCATTATTTTGTATATAAAAGTATTAAGGTAAGAAATCGAAAAATGAATAGTTTACTAGATATTTTAACGTTTATGTAAAATTAAGAAATGATTTCAAGCCTTATAACTCAAAAAGTACTTAATGAAAAAGTACTTAATTATAGTGTTTTGGAAAGCTCTCGAGATAAGCTACAAGAATATGCAATAAAAAATAGGGGGTTTCATTTAAGAAATTGAAGGTAACCTTTATACGACTTTCAAATGACTATCCAAGGTCAAATTTTTGCCACCCATCTTCTGTCCCCCTCAAAGTCAAGCAACTTTTATTTGAAACATTTTGTTGTACATTCAAATATAAAAAAGTTATTGGGGTGGATCACTTAAAATGGCCCACCCTGTATACAGGATTTGTCAAAAGTGTGGAAACCCCTAAATAACTTTTGTAAAAATGAAAAAATATCAAAAAAGGGTAAAACACATATTTTGATATTTCAAAAAAGCTACCCTATGACATGGATACTGATCATCCCCCACCCTCTGGTACGTGGGGGTAAGAGGGGGGTTGAAAATTTTAAATTGGACTAGGGGTGGAGTGGGGGCTCATTTGAAAGGTCTTTTCATAATAAACACACCCTTAAAATTTTAAGTTGCTACGACCGCCCATTAAAAATGGCGGCCGTTCAAATTTCGAAATTTCATGCACTTAGTGTTATCCAGGATCAACTATGTACAAAATAATGAGAGGAGTGTACCGTACCAGTAGGTGGGGGATGATCGGTATCCATGTCATAGGGTAGCTCTTTTGAAATATCAAAATATGTGTTTTACCGTTTTTTGATATTTTCATTTTTACAAAAGTTATTTAGGAGTTTCCACACTTTTGACAAACCCTGTGTATATATATATATATATATATATATATATATATATATATATATATGTAAGGTGTCACAAAAGTAACGGGACGGCTGAATATTTCCTCAAGTAAGATTTTTTTCAAAAAAAAGTTTAAGATCATTATTTAAGTAATTTTCAACGAGGAATCTAGTGGTAACCTCAAATTTGACCTAGACAATGACCTTTAAGGTTATTTGGAAGTCAACTTTATTTTTTTTAATGGAAACCCCCTTTTTTGAAATCGACAATCGAAAGAGCAATAAATTTTACGTTCAAATATATATCCAGGTTATAGGTCCGACATGACCTCAAAGGTCATTTAAACTTAAACAAGATATGGGTACCTCTGAGAATAAAAGCTGTTCAGAAAATTTTGTATCGACAAAAGTTATTTATTTTAACAAAGCGCATTGGATAGTGACCTTAATCTTGACCTCGACCATGACCTTCATTTGATTTAAAGATTCGTTCCTGGTAGAATAGTTTTTCGGAAATCAATAAGAGATCAATTACAATATCAAATTTTCAAATTTCACCAACAATAAGAAAAATTATTCTTATTTGAGATCCGGAAAAGTTGTTAGATCTTGATCGAATCTTTTAATCTAAACGTAAAATTTTTTGCTCTATCGATTTTTGAACTCAAAAATGCAGATTTCTATTTATAAAAAAATTGACTTTCAAATGATCTTGAAGGTCATGGTCGTGGTTAAGATTAAAGTCACTACCCAATGCGCCTTGTTAAAATAAATAATTTTTGTCGATACAAAATTTTTTGAACAGCTTTCATTCTCAGAGGTACCCATATCTTGTTTAAGTTTAAATGACATTTGAGGTTTGTCGGACCTTATATGTATTTCTCTCAGGTTCTCTCTTGAATATTATATTTTTTAAAGAAAATTTTTTTCTTAATCGCAAAATCTTAATCGCTCACAATCTTAATCGTACATTTACACTTAATCGTGTACTTACACTTAATCACAGTTAAATTGGGAATGGCAAGTTCTCATCAATAATACAAAATTTATATCGTTATCTTCTACCACATCGTGTGGTAGGTATAACAGATATACCATAGATGTAGCTAAATTTATGTTTTGGTGTGAGTTAAAAATATTTCTATATTTTTGATAGAACGAGAGAACCTCTATACAATACAAATTATTGTAATTACATTGTAGCAATGTTTTTGTAATGTTTCATTGCAATATTGCAAATTGTAATGAAATATTACAAACACATTGCAGAGAAAAGATCCACAAATTGCCAACACAGTTGCAAGATAACATAAATATTTTAGAAAAATTTTAAATCAAAATTTTACAATTACATATTTTTAAAATAAAACATATAGGAAATATGCAAATTATAGATAATAAACTAAACTATTCAAACTTTTTACTTATTTTATCCTTATAATTGTTTAAATATTACAAAATCAATTTATATAAAAAAATAAGATCTACTTAAAAAGTTTTATTTAAAAAAAAAAATGAAATTTTTAATCTTCAAATCTCTAAAATATAAAGCTTTTAACAACATGATAATCATGAAACGAGCGATAAGAGCCTAAACACGCGGATGGTATTGCGTAAATTTTTTTTTTTTCAAACATTGTTCGCGAAAAATTTTTTTTTTTTTTTTAAATTTACGCAATACCATCCGCGTGTTTAGGCTCTTATCGCTCGTTTCATAATTATCATGTGGTTAAATATATAGAGCCGTATTCTTTATCAATTTATTTATAAAACTTTTACTTATAAAAGTTATAAATTTTTATTTATAAAAAATAAATATAATACATAATTAACATTTACTCAAAATCATTCAATTTTTTTATATAACTTTTCATATAGCATATAATTTTTTACACATTAATAACTCAAGTATATAAATTAATAGATATCTCATGCTATATAGTACATTACAATAAATGAAAATGGAAATCTAGACATTTCTTCTTAATAAATGAAATTGTGAAAAAAGTATTATAATACTTTTATATTTGGTATGATGTAACAAAAATATTGATTACGTTGTATATATAACTGTGTATATAATAATAATAATGAAAAAACTATTATAAATATGATTAAGTAAGCACAATAGACAAAAATAAATAAACTATAAATACACGATCGTATAAAATTATAATATATAACATAGATGTATAAAATAAAACATGTTATTGTAAATTTATTATAATGAAAAAGTTGTAGAACATCAAACGAAAAATAAATTCAATATTAATACATAAAAATAACATCAAAAACTCACCTACTTTGTTTTTAATTTGAACTATTGAAAAGAATGTGAAGTAAATCGAAATGTATAGAGATCTATTACTTCTATTTGAATAATTGAAATATATTTGTATCAGAATCTGTGAAAGATTTCAATTATACTTTTTATTATTTAATATAGTATTTATATACTTATTTTATTTAATATAATTTACATATTATATAATTGCATATTCACTTTACACACGTTATACATATTTAAATAAAACATTTGTTAATATATACAATCAAAATTAAATTTGTTTATTCTATAGAAATTAATATTGAATTATGTAAAATAATATTACATAAAAAAATCACAAGTATAATATCACAAAAAAAATATTTTTGTCAATTTTTTGTTGAGAAGATAAAGTAAAATAACAATAATTATGACATTATGTGGAAGTTGGATTCTTCTTATTCTGATCCTGTAAAAAAATATATAAATTAATTTTATATATATATAGATATATACACCGTGACCCATTTTAATCGACGCATCTGAATATCTCCGTTGGTAAGCCGAATACAAAAAAATTGTTCACACAAAAGTTGTATGGCTTGAAGGGGGACATAAGATGGTATCATTGGTTTTATCTTGAAAAGTTGTTTGAAGGTCACATGAAGGCTACCTTCAATTTTTTTAATGGAACCCCCTATTTTTTATTACTTATTCTTATAGCTTATCTCGAGAGCTTTTCAAAACACTATAATAAAGTATTTCTTCATTGAGTACTTTTCGAGTTATGAGGCTTGAAATCATTTCTTAATTTTACATAAACCATAAAATATCTAGTAAAATATTCATTTTTTGATTATCCTACCTTAATACTTTTATGTACAAAATAATGAGAGGAATTAATTGCTATAAAGAAAACATACAGTTGTTTTTGAGAAAAAATATGGAATTGTTAATTGCAAATTACATATTTTTTCTTAGAAACAACTATGTGTTTTCTTTACACCAATTGATTCCTCTCATTATTTTGTACATAAAAGTATGAAGGTAAGATAATCGAAAAATGAATATTTTACTAGATATTTTATGGTTTATGTAAAATTAAGAAATGATTTCAAGCCTCATAACTCGAAAAGTACTCAATGAAGAAATACTTTATTATAGTGTTTTGGAAAGCTCTCGAGGTTAGCTATAAGAATATACAATCAAAAATAGGAATTTCCATTTAAAAACTTTTAATTGATTTTTCCGTGTTCTTAACAACACTATCCAAGGTCACACTAACCATGCTATGTAATGCGCCCCTTAAAATCCTACAACTTTTGTTCGGAACATTTTTCAAGTAAATGCGTATTTTTCGAAATACCAGCCTGATACGGTCGCTCTGATACACCCTGTATAATATATTTTATTTATATATTGCAGTGTACTCACCTGTCATGAATTCTTTCATCTTGATCAAGAATAGCTGGCTCATGGTCCCTAATTGGCGCGTTATTAGCTCTATTGTCGTGAACATTTCTAGTATTAAAAATATTTATAATAAATTAATCAATATTTTTAACATAATAATTAGTAATTATTATCTGTTGCAATAGAATACTCTTTGTATAATTTATATAGCAATAGAAACTCTTTGTATAATTTATATAATATATTTTATTTATATATTGAAGGGTACTCACAATTCCTCAATTATCATACCGTCTCGATAAGCAAAAAGTGGCTCATTGTCCCTGACTGGCGCGATGAGGCGACCTTGTCTGTAACGATGTAGTGTGTAATCAAAATAACAAATAATTAATAAAAATTGTTACTCATATTAAAAATATTTATAATAAATTAATCAATACTTTTAACATAATAATTAGTAATTATTATCTGTTGCAATAAAATAGTTATAAAATTTGTTAAATAATATTTATCTATAATTTTTCTAGAATTTTTATGATAAAATAGCACACAATCGTCCATACGTATACATGCATGTAAAGATGCATGCATTTATTATCATGACGCATTTATTATCATTTTGCTAATCTTGTTAATTGATTAAGTATAAAAATATAAGCATTTACATTGAAAGTATAAACCTTTAACTATATATGATATTACCTGTCACATATAAATTTAATTAGCCTGTAAGCACATATTCCTATACTTACTCCTATTGTCAGACTTCCGAAGAGAATGATAAATATTATAAATTTCTTGCTTTTCTTTTTTGCAAGTTTATCATCATTTCCATGATCAATTTTATTATTTTCTGTAATATATGTAATATCTGTGTATTGATATGAATATCTGATTGTTGATATTGAAATTAAGACTAAAAATAATTCTTATAAATAATTTAATTTATAAATTGATAATTTTATTGTTATGAATTTTTCAAAATTATTTAATTTTCGTTTCACAAAAGAATATTATAAATTTAATAATACGATAATATAGATCAAAAGAGAGTCATTATTGATAAACTAATCTTTTAAGAAAAATTAATTATAATTTAATTTATTAACAGTTAAAATATATATATATTGTTACGGCCCTGATGTCCGTGTTCATCGGGACGGCGCCGATTAACGAAAAGAAGCGCGTTGTCAAGAGGTTGTTGACAGGAGCGCCTGTCATCTGAGTTCAGTTCCAGCTGTCAAACTGCGCGGACGCGTTTGTGTTTCGAGCCGAGCCGAATTGCTATTACGTTCTGTGTTACTGTTTGTAGTCCTGTGTTGTGGTGTTGTGCATTAAAGAGTTCCAAGTTCCTTTTAAAAGTGTCTATTCATTTCGCGCGACCCGCGCGCAGCCGATCTCTCCGCGCGCGTCTTCGATATTAATCGAAGTCCTCGCCGCGGGCGTAACAATATATATATATATATATATATATATATATATATATATATATATATCTTATACATTATACATACATAATATTAGTAAAACAGGTATGTATCCATATATGTAATAAACTTATATATTTTACTGTAAATTTTTCTATACTTACTTTGATAGAGATTATTTTATTTTTCTTTTATAACATACTTTTTGATATACTTTTTGAATATTGAAAGAAAGAAAGAGAAAAATAAAAAATATGCTCGCATCATTAGGTTTCATTTAAACGTGTTTTTATGATTATAATATAAATATAAATTAAATAAATATAATTTATAGCATTATTATTGAATATGAATAATTATCTTACCTGTGTTTAATACGTGTAAAATAGAAACAAAAAAAACTATGCATAAGCATGACAAATAGAATATTTGCCTTATAATTTGCTGCATCACACGCATTGCGGACATATTAATGTTTCTTCTTAAACTTCGACGAGATTGTAATTTTCTTTATTGAATCTTCTTTTTCTGGTTCTAGTTATCAATATCACGATCAATTGCTAAAAAAAACATTTACACAGTATAACAAAATTCAGTTGTGATTGCCTAATAACATAGATTTTAAGCAAAACAGAAAAAAATAAATTTCTTAACCAATGAAATTGAAAGAGACATTTATGGTAGAATAAAAACATAGTAAAAATTAATATATAATATATTTTTATATTAATATGTAAGAATAATAAAAAATAGTTGTGATTAAAAATGTTTAAGAAAATTATGCAACTTAGTTTTAATTAACAAATAGATTTATATTATCAATTCTAAAATAAATTTGGATTCACAACACGGGTCTAAAGTATTTGTAAATAGAATTAAAATGTTCGAAAATTAATAATAATTTAAACTATCCTTTTATATATATATATATATATATATATATATATATATAAAATTGCTCAAAAATAAAATATTTATATTTGCTCGATATTTTTAGAAACCACACAGCAATTATAAAAATTTTATAAAATCATAGTAGGACAAGACCTCTCATGTTTTTCTATCATTTTTGATAAAACTGGTATTTTTCTCTTGAATTTCTTGTTAATAAAGCTCAATATATAGTTTTACGAAAAATATTATATTAAAAACTCTTAATTAATATAATACAAATCAATGCATGGATAAATGTATCTTGTATAGATAATCGATTTTATTTTCAATTTTAATAAAGAGGGTAATAAAATATCGCGTATTGCAAGTATGTATATATATATATATATATATATATATATATATATATATAAAACAGAGTAATTAAGGTTGATCACAACTGGCAATTTTAATTCGAAATCAAAATTTCACAACGTTTCGACCATAGGTTTTGGCCCTTTTCAAGTGAACTACAAAAAATTAATTCAATATTACAAAAATAAAATAATTGATTTTGAGATAACGAGCAAAAGGTTACATACATACAGTAATTTGATTAAAAGTTATATCGTGAAAAATAATCACTTCGTCAAAAATATCATGTCGACCTGTCCTCACCAACAAAAAGAGAAAGACTAGACAACCTTTATTATTTTATCATAAATATCGTTTAAATTATCTGTGTCCTTTTGTAAGTTGATCGTGTTGTCAAGCTTTTTTATATAAAACATTTCAGCAAATTCTCTCTTTCTCACGTGTTTCTCGCTATGTAAAATAACCGGTGAGGACCAATCGAAGTCATGATTAAAATCAACTTTATGTTTACTAATAACGGAAAAATTACTTTCATGCACTTTAATGTTATTACGATGTTCTTTTATACGAGTGCATACATGTCTTTTTGTTTGGCCGATATATGACTTATTGCAATTTTTGCAATCTAATTTGTAAACTACTTCCGTTCTGTTGTTCGTAGGCAGCTTATCTTTACCGCGTTTAATCAGTACATTGAGTTTTTTAGGAACATTATAAACCACATTTAGGCCTATGTTTTTAAAAACGTGATCAAATTCATCACTCAGGCCATCAACGAACGGCAAAGAAATGTACGAAGATGCCACTGCATTGTCACATTCATTATCAATATTAGCATTATCACGATGTTTCAAGAATTGTAGTCTTTTTTGCACATAACGGTTAATGATTTGGCTCGGAAAACAATTGTTGGAAAGAATCCGCCTAACAGTATCAATGTTCTTCGCATGAAATTGAGAATCAGCCAATAATATACCGCGGTCAACAAGACTGTAAATGGTGTTCAATTTGTATTTCATCGGATGTTTAGAATGAAAATTAATAAATCTGTTAGAACAAGTGGGTTTCCTAAACCAATTGGTTAGAAGACAACCATCAGATCGAATAACAACCGTGTCGAGAAAGCTGATACGAGAATCACATTCAATTTCATGCGTAAAAGCCAAGCGTTGATGATAATTATTAAAGGTCGATTTTATCATTTCCACTTTAGAGCGTGGAACAATGGTAAAAATGTCATCAACATATCTGTAATAAACCGGCACATTGAAATCCAGCAGACTCAAACAATGTGTTTCCAAGTCATCCATCACAAAATTAGATTGCAAAAATTGCAATAAGTCATATATCGGCCAAACAAAAAGACATGTATGCACTCGTATAAAAGAACATCGTAATAACATTAAAGTGCATGAAAGTAATTTTTCCGTTATTAGTAAACATAAAGTTGATTTTAATCATGACTTCGATCGTCCTCACCGGTTATTTTACATAGCGAGAAACACGTGAGAAAGAGAGAATTTGCTGAAATGTTTTATATAAAAAAGCTTGACAACACGATCAACTTACAAAAGGACACAGATAATTTAAACGATATTTATGATAAAATAATAAAGGTTGTCTAGTCTTTCTCTTTTTGTTGGTGAGGACAGGTCGACATGATATTTTTGACGAAGTGATTATTTTTCACGATATAACTTTTAATCAAATTACTGTATGTATGTAACCTTTTGCTCGTTATCTCAAAATCAATTATTTTATTTTTGTAATATTGAATTAATTTTTTATAGTTCACTTGAAAAGGGCCAAAACCTATGGTCGAAACGTTGTGAAATTTTGATTTCGAATTAAAATTGCCAGTTGTGATCAACCTTAATTACTCTGTTTTATTTATTTGCTGGCGACTTTGAAGTTTTTTAATTTATATATATATATATTTATTACATATATATGCATACATATATGTAAAATATGATAGCATTATATAATATATAAAGAATAAGTTTCTGCGTCAATCTTCAGAATTTTAAATATGAAGTGCCAAATTTGATACAAAATTTTGTACAAAAAAATTTTCTATTGTATTCTACTTCGAAATTTATTATGATAGACTAGGCACGTTAGAGAAAATAATACTTAAATGCTAGCAATTGATTTTATAATATAAATTCTTTAATTTTAACCAACCTATGAGCCAAATCGTTGTCCGCCTGTTCTTTGTATATACACAATATTTCAATCAAATAAACGTATGACTTCTAAAGAATATAAACAATTTCTGACAAATGTAAAGGATATTCTTGAGTGCTAACTGATCCATTCGTCTAACTCTTATCAATATCGCATCAAATTGTTTATTTTTAAGGGACATGAGTCATCATATTTTCTCCAGTGGAATCGGTTTTGTCTCTGTATTAACTCTCTGTATTTAATAAATATTTTGATTTGATTGTCGAACATCTTATATTCATATAATAAATAACAAAATATCTAATTTTTTTCTTGAGTGCTAACTGATCCATTCGTCTAACTCTTATCAATATCGCATCAAATTGTTTATTTTTAAGGGACATGAGTCATCATATTTTCTCCAGTGGAATCGGCTTTGTCTCTGTATCAACTCTCTTTATTTAATAAATATTTTGATTTAATTGTCGAACATCTTATATTCATATAATAAAGAACAAAATATCTAATTTTTTTATTATCAAAAAAGATAATAAAGTTTTTCAACAAAAATAATGTAATTTTTATTCATAATTTTTTCAATTTTAAAATTTGAGCGCATAATTTTTTATGGAAATTAAATAATTCTTGGAAAATAGAAATCATCCGTTAATTAATTCTCAATATTTATTAAAAATATCAATATTTATTAAAATTTTTAAAAATGTATGAAGAACATTATAATCATAAAAAATAAGTAAAAAAAATATAAAATGTTTTTAATTTAAGCAAAAAATTTTAATTTTTAAACTGTAACGAATAACTATGTGATCAGAGTATTTAAAAGTAATTTAATTTATTGATTAATTTCGAAATAAATAATTATTGTATATTTGTAATATACAATAATTATGTAATCTTATAAAATGATATAATATAATAAAATCTGTTAATACCTTTTAACAAACCTATTTTTTGCCTTCTTTGTTGCGTAAAAATTTGAATATTTTTTTTTAAATTATAAGTCTGATTTTTCAAAATTCCAAGTGATGTTCGATAAATTTTATATCGCACAGAAAAAATTGTAAATTTAGAGCTTCCCTTTCACATATATATTATATATTTCATATTTATATAAATATTTTAAAAATTATACGAGATTGTTGATTAAAATAGAAATAAATATTCATTAATGTTCTTACATCTATTAACAAGAAGATAATAAATGTATCAATTAAATGTAAATGATTATCTTATATTCTGATATAAAATTCTATATTTGTAATATGGTCTATAAATTATATTTTTTGAATGTGTAAAGTCAAAAGAAATAGTTCTTTTCTGTCAATTAATTGTGGCGATGGATAACAAACACTCTTCTTTTTTCTTAATATTAACCTTTAACGCAATTTATGAAAAAATATGTCATTGAATGTACAGATTAAAAATATTTTTTCATATTGCATAATTTTTAAGTAACATGCAACAGAATAAAGGCCTATATTTTTATAATTAATTTGTACAAATTACCCTTTACACTTAACCGATAATTAATTCTGCAATATTAATTTTGATGATAAGCATTTTTTTATGGGAAACATATGTTAGTAATTTGTCGGACTTTTAACTTTATATATCTTTAAATAAAATCGTATAATTTATTACGTAAAAGAGAGAGCCAAATAGACTGTCGTGGCGTGTGGACGTGTGTCAAGTCGCTCCGCCTTTGAGTGCTTATTGGGGAGTGTAAAGTAAATTCTTTATGTCTAAAACTGAGTGCTCACGGTGTGAATAGTTACGGCGAATACTGTGGCATATAAATTGGATGCGTTAAACTCCGTTGAAACGAGAATCATCGAAATATATTATACGTGCTCAAGGACGTAGAAATATGACGCAGCCTTTTACAATCTACTCATAATTGTACAAGTGAGAATCGCTCGATAACAAAATAATGGAATAAACCCAAAATAAGGACCGGGACGTGATATGCAAATTAACCGGCGAAAGAGGTAACGTTTGACGTTGAACGAAATCGTGAGCAATGAAAACGTCGCCTCAACATTGACTTTCACGGAAAGAGAGAAGGTGTAAATAACGACAATATTGAGTGTCAACAATAGAAGCCGATGTTTCAAAAATAAACGATTAATTGTTGTTTACGCGATTTTGAGAAATTCAAATTAATGAATAAAACAGGAGAAGGCCCGGAGAGACAAAAGGAGCCAAAACGAAAAGGGAGGCCGACCCACGCGGAGCACCTTGGAAGACAAAGGGCCAATAGTTTCGAGTCGATAGTCGACTCGTTTAAGAGGAAGAGGGAAGAAAAGGAAGATAGGATAAGAACAGAGAAGGAACTAATTGAGAAATTCCAAAAAACAAGAGCAGTGAGCAGGTCATCCCCAACGAAAAGAATAGAAAAAGCAGCAGAAGGGACGCAAGAGGAGAAGAATACAGGAAATGAAGAAGGGCTAGACATGGATAAAATAGATAAATTGACAGAGATTATACTAACAATCAAGAATGATACAGAGGAGATAAAGAAGGAAAACAAGGTAATAAGACAAGAAATACAAGACTTAAAAGAAGAATGGAAAAAGAAACAAGAGGAATGGGAGAAGGAAAAGGAGATAATAGTAAATAGGTTGAAGGAACTGGAGACCAAAGAAGAACAACTGGAGAAGAAAATGGAAAGAATGATACAACTGGAAGAGAAAGAAGAGGCAAGAGAGAGAAGAGAAAGAAGGAATAATATCACTTTGAAAGGAGAGGATTTATCGAGAGAAGGCCCACCTAAGAGAATAATAGAACAGATAATGAGACAAGAACTGCAGGTAGAGGCGGACGTGGAGGAGGCATACTGGATAAGAAGAGAGCAACGAGGAGGAATGTTGATAGCGAAACTAAAAAGCTGGCAACAGAAAAGAGAAATTTTGGCAAAGAAAAGTAAAGTGAAAGGTAAGAAACTGTACATTGACAACGACTTAACAAAAAAGGAAAGAGATGTACAAAAAGAAATAGCAAAAATCGCGAAATTGGAGAGAGAACGAGGAAATCAAGTGAAGATAGGATACAAGAAAATAATGGTCAATGAAAGGACTTTCAAATGGAAGGAAGGGGAAGGACTGAAAGAATTTTTTTTTTTCAGAACAGGCAAGCCATGCAATCCAAGTAAAATAACAACGGCCCAGTATAATATGAACAAAGGCAAAGTCAGCAAGGAAGTACAGAAAGAGATAAAGGCAATATTCTGGAACACGGCAGGAATTGCAAGGAAAGACGAGGAGTTTTGGGAGTACATACAGGATTTTGATATAATTAACTTTACGGAGACGTGGATAGAGGAGAAGCAATGGAAAAAAATGGAAGCCCTGATGCCAAAGGAATACAACTGGGTAACACAGTACGCAGCAAGAGACAAGAAAAGGGGCAGAGGAGTGGGAGGCATGATAACAGGAGTGAAGAAAAACATCAGGATGGAGGAAGTACAAAAAGAAACACAAGGAATAATTAGTTATGGTGTAGAAATCAACGGAGGAAAATGGAAAATTATCTCAATTTACAACAGAGAAGGAAAGAAGAAGTGGACTAGAAGAACTGGAAGAGATAATCGAAGGCGATGGATGGAAAAAAATGATAGTGGGAGGAGATTTCAACGCTAGAACAGCAGAGAAAGGAGAAATAGTTTGGGATGGAGAGGAGGAAGGAAGTAGGAGATACTCGAAGGACAAAATAGAGAAGCTGGGACTAGGTTTACTGAATGGAAATAAGGAAGGCGACGACCAGGGAGAATGGACATTCACAGGAGCAAGAGGAAATTCAGTAATAGATTATGCAATTTGTAACGCGGAAACATGGGAAGAAATAAAAAGTTTCAGGATAGGAGAAAGGACTGAATCAGACCATCAACCTTTAGAGATAGAACTGAAAGCGACAACAGAGGAGATAAGAGAGAGAGAAGAAGTAAAAGAGAAAGAGATAGAAGATTGGACAGAGGAGGGAATAAAAATATACCAAGAAAATCTCAAGAAGAGGAAAGCAGAAAAGGAAGAAATCCAAGAGAAATGGGAAGAACTAGTAGAAGAAATCAAGAAAGCAATAAGCAAAAAGAAAGTCAAGAACAAAATGCAAAAGGTAGGAAAGAAACCTTGGTGGGACAAAGACTGCAGAAACAGTAAAACGAAACTGAACCGATCCCTCAGGCAAATGAGAAAAGGAAACATAGAGAGGACAGAATTTATAGAAGAAAAACAAAGACACAACAAGCTATGCGAAACAAAGAAGAAAGAAGAGAGAGAAAGAGAGCAGACCAAAATCGCAGAGATACAAAATGAAACAGAAATATGGAGATATATAAAGAAGGAGAGAGGCCGACGAGAAAAGCTAGAGGACAACATTGAGGAGCAACAATGGAAAAGATACTTCATGGAACTACTGGAGGGAGGTGAGACGAGAGGAAATAACGATGCACGAAACGTGCGAGAAGCAGGAGGTAATCAAGAAATGCCACGAGAGGAAGAAACAAAGGAGGAGGAAGAGGGATTCACAGAGGAAGAGATGGAAAACGCAATAAGAAGACTCAAGAAGAAAAAAGCAACAGGTGAAGACAGGCTCAAAAACGAAGTGTGGATAAACGCAGATAGGGAAACAAAAGAAAAATTGAGGAAAATAATGGAAAAAATATGGAACGGAGAGAAACTGCTAAGAGGATGGAAAGTAGGCATGATATACCCAATACATAAAAAAGGAGACAAGAAAGAAGTGAAGAACTACAGAGGGGTAACATTACTAGACACGGCATACAAAATCTATGCAATGATTTGGAAGAAAAACTGAGGAAGGAAGTTGAGAGACTAAAGCTGCTCCCAGAAACGCAAGCAGGTTTCAAAAAAAGGAGAAGTTGCATAGATAATATATTTGCACTGAAAATAATAGCGGAAAAAACGATAACGAAAAAGAAAGGGAAACTCTACGTCTTCTTTGCGGACCTGAAAGCAGCGTTCGATAAGGTGAACAGAAAGAAGCTATGGAAGGTTCTGGAAGAACGCGGCATAAATAGGAAACTGATCAACAGAATAAAAGATATCTATGAAGAAACGATCAACAGGGTAATTGTAGGAGATAAATGTACAGAGGAATTCTGGACAGAAGGAGGTCTGAGGCAAGGATGCCCACTGAGCCCACTCCTATTCATAACATTCATTGCGGATGTGGAGGACTTTATGAAGAAAAGACAGAACGGAGGCGCAAGACTGGGAAGGAGGAGAATATTCACTTTGGCGTACGCGGACGACCTAGCGATGATGGCGGAGACGGAAAGGGAAATGAAGAAAATGTTAAAAACTCTAGAAAGATATTTAGAAGAAAAAGAACTGACTCTAAACGCAGATAAATCTAAAATGTTGGTCTTTTGTAGGAAAGAAAGAATTAAGCAAGAAAGGAACTGGAAATGGAAGGACAGCAAGATAGAAGAAGTGAAGGAATTCAAATATCTGGGATTCACATTTAAGAAATGCAACACCGATGAAGCACATGTAAAAGACATAGTGAGGAAAGCAACAGCAGCTATGGCAGGTTTGTGGGATAGGCGAAAGAAAAATTGGAGGAGACTTCGACAGGAGAATGATGATGTTCAATGTCATGGTTAAAAGTATACTCTTATACGGAGTCGAAATATGGGGATGGAAAGAATGGAAGGCGATTGAAGCACTTCAAGAGAGATATATAAGATGGATACTGGGCTTAGACAGATGCACGCCAAGCTACATAATTAGAGAAGAAACAAAGATAGAACAAATCAGTATAGAAGCCGGAGGAAGAGCGATAAAATACCAGGAAAAAATAAAAGGAATGACCGATAACGAAATACTGAGAGAATGCAGAAGGGAAATTAGCGATAGAAAATGGGAAGACACACAATGGGGAAGAAGGATGCAGACGTTTTACAAGGAGGGCGGATCAAACCAGTGGACAAAAGAAGCAAGAGAGGAACAGGGAAAAGACACGATTGAAGAATGGACAACCAACTACAAAAAGAAAAAATTGGAGGAGAGAGAAAGGAAGATGGAGAAATCGAAGTCAACGAAAGAATACAACAGATGGAAAACAAGGGAAGAGCGAAATATTTAGAGCGGAAAGGAAAAGGCACAAAGCAGAAGACAATCGCAAGGTTCAGATGCGGAAATGAATGGAGAGGCAATAGATATTGGGAGAAGGAAGAAAAAAAAAATGTGCAGGCTGTGCGAGGAAGGAGAGGAATCATGGCACCATATATTTAGAGAATGCCCGGAATCAAGAGCAGACAACCTGAGCGAAGAATTTATTATGGCAGAAGACGGTAAAGGAATAGACTGGATGCGGAAGTTGTGCAATAAAAGAAAAGAAAGAGAAAAACTGAGCCAAGTAATAAGTGGATAAATAAGTGTATGAATTAATGTATGAATTAATGTATAAATGTATAAAATAAGTGTATAAAGTAATACAGAAAAGGTGTAAATGTAAAACACAGAACATGTATCCCGAGAAGGGAATCATCTTTAATAAAAAAAAAAAAAAAAAAAAAAAAAAAAAAAAAAAAAAAAAAAAAATTTATTACGTAAGAAACATCGACAAAGATAAGAATAATAATATAAATATATGTAAATAAATGTCAATTAAACAACATAAGAAATTACGTAAAAGAAGATTATGTTTATTAAATATGGAAAAGTCTTGCAATTGAAATATATACATACAAATTAATATATTTATAAAATATATTAGTTAATACAGGTAGGTAACATTTACGCATATTTTTACATATTCTTAAATATTATCTATATTACTAATTGTATATTGGTCAATATAAAACATATAATATTTATATATTTATTATTAATACTTAAATAAAAGTAAACATTTCCATGTAAAGGATTAATCACAATCGAAATCAGTTTTTAAGTTACAGATCTGTTAATTATTTAATATAATGTTTAAATGATAATGTTATATATAATTTTATAAATAATATTACAGCAATTAACTTAATAATAACTAATTATAAATTTAGTGCTTTAATTATAGAATGTCTAAAATTATACGATAAACAGTTTTATGCGTGAGTATATATAATATGTATTATATATGATGTATATGAATTTTTACATATACATATTATATATATAAAGCTTTTAAATTTATTTTTAAATAAATATATATATATATATGTATATATATATAAATATATATATGTATATATGTATATATACATATATGCTTTTTTGTACAAATTATCCATAATTACATAAAATATATGAATTATGTTAATATGATACAATTTTTTAAATGTATAATTTATTAATATAAATTTATTTAATAGGTTTCAAATTCTTAAAAATTGATTTTGATATTATTTTAATCTTAATATGTTCACATTAATTCTTTGTTTCGTCGTCACATTATCTATTTATAAATTTTAAAAATACCCTACGTTAAAAATTATGCATAACACATATGTGTCTATATTGTCTAGACGATTTGAAGTTCAGAATAGAGTTTTATGATGTATTTAAGAGACTTTATTATATATTACAACATACACACATATGAAACTTTGTGGTAATGCGCAAAACGTCAATGTTAATTTTTCGAATTAAAGCCTCATCTGACGACTGCGAAATTAGAGATATTATTAATATTATTAATATAATATAAAATAACTTGTACATATATATATATATATATATACATATATAATATATATAGTTAATATATATACACACACATATATACAGGGTGTCCGTAAATTTTCGACCTTAATGAAATAAATAAGTAGATTGGCTCGAATTAACAAGAAATGACCGGTATTGCTTTGGGATTGTCGCAATAATTAACGAAATATTAAATAAAAAAGATCGGCCAATCTGCGTGAGTAAAAGCGCGCGGCGACGAGAGTCGTCCCACCGTAATCCGATACTACGAACGCGGCGAAGCGGTGGGCGGGTCGCTCTCCGAGACATGATGGTGGTTTGCGATATATCGCAATACCGCGCCGAAAAATGACCCGTCCCCCCTTTTCGTGGCGAGAAAATGATGCGCTATCATTTCCACACCACCTTGCGGTAGATAGCATGGTGCGCTTTTTTTATAGTGGTTTCCCCCATAGGCCTATTCCACTCTCAATTTAAAAATTATTCAAAATGCCATTTACTATACGCTGAATATATCGTAAATGTAAAAAATTAATGGACAGTACCTTTACAAAAATTCGTGGTTGAAAATTCCTCGATAAAATGTATTGCACACGTTGATAATGTGATACGATGATAAAATTCTTCAAGAATCCTTTCTTCATCTCGTACACGAAGACGCACTGCTGGACCGGTTATCCCGATATTATGTACGACACTCAGTTTCACATAATTATTGCACAACACGTAAAATTGTACGGCCACTTGGTTTTCGTGCACGCCCGAGAAATGATTCCATGTAAATTGCGGCCGCACGATAAGTATTTTCTCCCGCTAGTCCGTATGCCACAATCATATCCGTATATTCCTGCAGAGTACACTTCATTTTCACTGTTAATTTACTACGCAAACACAAGATTTTTATTAAAACGTCTTAGCTCTCGCACGCTGTTACCAGACTGCGTACGCCAGCAGCACGCAACTACAGCTGACAGCTGAGCGGACATGTGAGTGTAAGCGTACGTGTGAGTTCGACGCCTGCGCACTATGATTACACTCAGCATGTCCGCTCAGCTGTAGTTGCGTGCTGCTGGCGTACGCAGTCTGGCAACAACGTGCGAGAGCTAAGACGCTTAGTAAAAATCTTATGTTCGCGCAGTTAATTACCAGTGAAAATGAAGTGTACTCTGCAGGAATATACGGATATGATTGTGGCATACGGACTAGCGGGAGAAAATACTTATCGTGCGGCCGCAATTTACATGGAATCATTTCTCGGGCGTGCACGAAAACCAAGTGGCCGTACAATTTTACGTGTTGTGCAATAATTATGTGAAACTGAGTGTCGTGCATAATATCGGGATAACCGGTCCAGCAGTGCGTCTTCGTGTACGAGATGAAGAAAGGATTCTTGAAGAATTTTATCATCGTATCACATTATCAACGTGTGCAATACATTTTATCGAGGAATTTTCAACCACGAATTTTTGTAAAGGTACTGTCCATTAATTTTTTACATTTACGATATATTCAGCGTATAGTAAATGGCATTTTGAATAATTTTTAAATTGAGAGTGGAATAGGCCTATGGGGGAAACCACTATAAAAAAAGCGCACCATGCTATCTACCGCAAGGTGGTGTGGAAATGATAGCGCATCATTTTCTCGCCACGAAAAGGGGGGACGGGTCATTTTTCGGCGCGGTATTGCGATATATCGCAAACCACCATCATGTCTCGGAGAGCGACCCGCCCACCGCTTCGCCGCGTTCGTAGTATCGGATTACGGTGGGACGACTCTCGTCGCCGCGCGCTTTTACTCACGCAGATTGGCCGATCTGTTTTATTTAATATTTCGTTAATTATTGCGACAATCCCAAAACAATACAGGTCATTTCTTGTTAATTCGAGCCAATCTACTTATTTATTTCATTAAGGTCGAAAATTTACGGACACCCTGTATATACAGGGTGTCCGTAGATTTTCGACCAAAATGAAATAAATAAGTAGATTGGCTCGAATTAAGAAGGAATGACCTGTATTGTTTTGGGATTGTCGCAATAATTAACGAAATATTAAATAAAACAGATCGGCCAATCTGCGTGAGTAAAAGCGCGCGGCGACGAGAGTCGTCCCACCGTAATCCGATACTACGAACGCGGCGAAGCGGTGGGCGGGTCGCTCTCCGAGACATGATGGTGGTTTGCGATATATCGCAATACCGCGCCGAAAAATGACCCGTCCCCCCTTTTCGTGGCGAGAAAATGATGCGCTATCATTTCCACACCACCTTGCGGTAGATAGCATGGTGCGCTTTTTTTATAGTGGTTTCCCCCATAGGCCTATTCCACTCTCAATTTAAAAATTATTCAAAATGCCATTTACTATACGCTGAATATATCGTAAATGTAAAAAATTAATGGACAGTACCTTTACAAAAATTGATTCATGGTTGAAAATCCCTCGATAAAATGCACACGTTGATAATGTGATACAATGATAAAATTCTTCAAGAATTCTTTCTTCATCTCGTACACGAAGACGCACTGCTTATCTCGATATTATGCACGACACTCAGTTTCACATAATTATTGCACAACACGTAAAATTGTACGGCCACTTGGTTTTCGTGCACGCCCGAGAAATGATTCCATGTAAATTGCGGCCGCACGATGAGTATTTTCTTCCGCTAGTCCGTATGCCACAATCATATCCGTATATTCCTGCAGAGTACACTTCATTTTCTCTGTTAATTTACTAGGCAAACACAAAATTTTTATTAAAACGTTTTAGCTCTCGCACGCTGTTACCAGACTGCGTACGCCAGCAGCACGCAACTACAGCTGACAGCTGAGCGGACATGTGAGTGTAAGCGTACGTGTGAGTTCGACGCCTGCGCACTATGATTACACTCGCACGTCCGCTCAGCTGTAGTTGCGTGCTGCTGGCGTACGCAGTCTGGTAACAGCGTGCGAGAGCTAAGACGTTTTAATAAAAATTTTGTGTTTGCCTAGTAAATTAACAGAGAAAATGAAGTGTACTCTGCAGGAATATACGGATATGATTGTGGCATACTGACTAGCGGGAGAAAATACTCATCGTGCGGCCGCAATTTACATGGAATCATTTCTCGGGCGTGCACGAAAACCAAGTGGCCGTACAATTTTACGTGTTGTGCAATAATTATGTGAAACTGAGTGTCGTGCATAATATCGGGATAACCAGTCCAGCAGTGCGTCTTCGTGTACGAGATGAAGAAAGGATTCTTGAAGAATTTTATCATCGTATCACATTATCAACGTGTGCAATACATTTTATCGAGGGATTTTCAATCATGAATCAATTTTTGTAAAGGTACTGTCCATTAATTTTTTACATTTACGATATATTCAGCGTATAGTAAATGGCATTTTGAATAATTTTTAAATTGAGAGTGGAATAGGCCTATGGGGGAAACCACTAT